TCACTCGCCGTGCCTGCGCTCTGGGTCTGTTCAGGATCCCGCGGCCTGGGTCGTCTCTGTTATTTTTCTTAAGAGTAGGAAGAATTTACTGAAGGAAAGAAAGCTTCTATCTGAGAGGGACAGAAGTGGGTCCAGAAAGTGGGTTGCCTACTAACCCTACTTCTCAAGTAGTTTATAGAGCAAAGCCATAAAGTGAGGTAGGCTTAAGGTAGAACAGAACCATAACCAATCAATAATATTACAAAGATAGTCACTTAAATAATACTGCTCCAATAGCAAATCATAGGTGGGACAGAACTGTGAAGTTGCAGAGCAAGTGCTCATGATCAAATAAGGACTTTACTGGGGAAGTAGGTTAAAGAGGTTTGGTCTTGCACACCAAGGTGATTGATGCCAACTTAGAATATCAATCACTGCTCTTCATCCCTAGGGAAAGCATATGGGTGAGCAGCTCTTCTTTTTTTAAAAAAAATTAATTTATTTGATATAGGGTCTCACTATGCAGCTCAGACTCATAACGATCCTCCTGCCTCAGCTTCCCCAGTGCTAGGATTACAGGCATGTGCCACCATGCTCAGTTCGACTGCTGACACCCAGGACTGGCATGGCATGTGGTACTGGGGATTGAACTGGGGTCTTTGTGCTTACCAGGCAGGCACTTAGACCACTGAGCTATTTCCCCAGCCCTGATCTTCTTTTTTTTCACTGAAGCCTGGCCTTCAGTGCATGCAGCTCTCCAGCTACAGCTCTCTTTTCTGCATTTACCTTGCAAGGGCCTAGCGCAGTCTGACTGCCTATAATATTTCTACCTAACCTAGCTGTCTATAATAGCCCCTCCTCTGAAAAAGTACCCCTAACTGCTGTGAGAGAGCAAGGGTCGAAGACCGATCTGGCTGCTTCCAGCTGAAGAGGGTCATAGTGGTGATCGGCAGTCAGACACTCCACAGAGGGTTTATCTAAAGGCCCTCAACAGGCGCCCGGTGTTCTTGTCTTGGGTAGACATACAGCTTTAAGTCTGGAGGAGACAAGGCCACAGAACAGTTGAGTCTGCATGGGCCAAATAATAAAATCAACAAGGTTTTCCACCAGAAGGAGCTAGTAAGAGCTTTTTATAAAGAGGTTGTAGTTTTAAGGAAGAGTAAAAAATAATTTACTAGAATTTTAATATTAACTTTAAATTTGCTCTCAATTTGAATCAAGCATTCATAATATATTCTACAGTTCTTAAATAAAATACAGACTTGAGAGGAAGCTTCTAAATGCGTTATTCACTTAAGGTGAGGCATGGTGGCACATGCTTGTAATCCCAGCACTCAGGACACTGAGACAGGATCGCTGCATGTTCTAGGCTTGTCTAAGCCTAGAGTTCAAGTCTCAAAACAAATAAATGAATTTAATAGTATTGATGACCATTGCCTTTTCAAGCTTCTCTGTTCCTTATGGTTAATGTAGTATAGCATCTTTTAATTTTTTTTATTTAACTTTTTTCTAACCTTTTGGCAACCTCCTTACCCATACTTGCATGAATATTTTCGTTATGCCATACTTATTATTTACAGAAATCTATGAAAGATCATCATGGAGTCAATAATATATTAATTGAAGTTCCATGTCTTTCTTCTACTTTTGTTTTTTTTTAATGTTTTATTGTGGAGAATCTCAGTTATACACAAGGTACACAGAATAGTATAATTAACTCCCATGTACCCATTATATAGCTATAACAACATTTTGCCATTTTTTTTCCATCTAGGTCAACAGATCAAGAGATGGCTACCATAGAAAAAACAAATTTTTTATACTCACAGATGCTGAGGGAAGGAAAGGAGAGAATGTAGACAGAATCTTTATTGTGGTTTCTGAGAGGAGGAATGGATGAGATAGATTGAGGAGGCTTGAGATTGGCTGGTTTGATTAATTTCAGTGGCTTTGAGGCAGGGGATCCCTAGTTTTATGATGCTTGGTTATGTGGTGATAACCGGGAGGGAGATATTTGTCTTGAGTGTGGGTGCCTGGTAGAGGAGGTGGTTGAGAGTGTGAGATAGGACCAGTTGTTTGGGTTGTTGGAAAAATGAAATGAAATCATGTATGTCAAGCTTGGTGTTCGGCACATGGTGAGCAGCTACTATTAGCTGTGGAAGTGGTAGTTGTTGCTGTTGTGTTTTTCCTGTTTCCGTCTCTGTGCTCTTGTTTTTTCACTCTTTATGGAGTGTACAGTAGTTCTTGTCCTTTGTACCTGACTGCATTTTATTCATCTTCAAAGACATTCCCTTGTTCTTGTCATTTCTTGTGTATTATGTAGATCTTACCTTTCAGCATTCCTTAAGTCACTCTAACCAACAGCTCTCTCTCCTCGGGCTTTGGTCTTGCACTTTTAAGAACTTTTGCAAACTCTCTTATGCATCATTGATCTATTTTGAGAAATTTTTTATTTTGGTATGAAAATGCTACTGTGTTCAGAGATGCTAATTAAAGAAAAGATGCAGTATAATAGCAGAAGATAATGACAAAAACAAAAACAAAGATAAAATGAGGGCCAGGGATATAGCTCAGCAGTACAGTGTGTTCCTGGCAAATGTGAGGTCCTGAGTTCAATTGCTGGTACCACAAAATAAAATAAAGTAAATTACAAAAACTGTCCAAGTGGCACAGCTTTTGACTTGGCAGAAACATTGCTTTTGCCCCTACATTGCCTTTTACTTGTTACTTTACAAACATAGTCTCCACCTGGTGGTGCCTGGCGTTGTGCCAAAACATCAGTGAGCATTTCAGATAGCACAGGATCTAAAAATCTGTTTCCGTGAAGTAAAAGAAAATAGCATAATGTACTAAAATGTGGTTGGATATCTAGTTCAGTTGTTAAAATGGAAAATTGTCTTACAAAGAGTATCACCTTTTTGTGAACAGATAAAGTTTTCTTGATAAATGTTCTCAAAATGCAAGCCATGGGTTCTGGGAAGCAGGCAGGGCATAAATAGGGAAATTACCCTTTAGAATTTCTTTGCCATGGTGCTTTGACACAGTGCCAGCCTGCCCTTGAGCACAGCATGTGCCTTGTCCTTGTTAAAGAAGGTTTATCATTTGCTTTAATGCCTTTAAAAATAGGCTTGGTCAATTTGAAATAATTAATTCATAAGTAGCATATGTCATTATTATAAAGAGTATTCTAAGGCCAAAGGGAAGTGTTAGAGAAACTTCAGTATTGAATTTATATACACTTACTCTTCATTTCTTAAATAGATCTGCATCAGCACATGAAAATTGGTTATCTTTCTGTTGAAGAATGGCCATACTGTAATTGAGTGTATAATCTAAGGATTTTTAGTTACAGTGCAGAATATTATTTGTGTTTTTTCAAGTTCAATTTGTTTCATGTACTTTAAAGATGTGATTTACATAATCTGTTCAGTTATAGTTGGTTAATTATTTTTGAGGCCTCCATGGAGGATTTCTTTTTGTGTGTGTTTGTGTTACTGACCAGTTCTCTCTAGCTCACTACTGAGAGAGGTGAAGAGGGAGGCAGGGAAACTGAAGAGTATGACTAATTGTAGTCTGATTGTGCAGATTTTTAAACCGTGGAGTTTTTCTCTATTGATAAAAGATTTAGTATCAGTAATGTACAGACTAGGTCTATTTTCATATTAAAACCTCAAATTGAGAGAACAGGCACAAATGACATTTATAGAAGATGTTATTTCAAATTACTATTTTCTGCTAGATCTGAGAAATACTTTTTTATGATATGAGTTTTTGTGTTTTTATAATCTGTTTAGGGAAGCTTTTCTATTGTGTTGGTTGAATATAATTTGCAAAGATTTCAGTCCATTTTTATACTATTTTTCCACCTCATTAACTTCATTGTTGGGTTTTTACACTTGAATGGTTTAAATAAAACAAAATGTGGCTCTGTTGTCCTCTCTCTGTTTCTGTCAGCATTTTGAGGTCTAATGATTGTATATTTAGTTTTGTGTTTTCATTTGGACGTCATTGTTAATTCTATTGAGTGAAAAATAATGATGAAGGGAAGCTATTGTTTAATTGAATATCTTATGCTGCTGAAGCCTGGAAAAATAGGATGATGTATTTGTAAAACTAAAATGGTCACTTCTTTAGCTAGTATTTTACCGTTTTTACTTTCCAGTAGTATTCACCAGACCAGGAACTTCAGAACTTTTAAGATTACCTTGTGTTGTGGATACATCGGGTAGTGTTTGTACTCTGGAGCTCAAATAAAGGGGAGCTTTGCTTAAAAGCAAACTATGTTCTTAGAAATGTTTTCTAAGCATTTTCAGAGAAAGTAGAAATTATGCAATGAATTTCCAAGTGAAGTCACCTTTGGAAATAGTTGCACTTATTTGCAAATAGTAGACATTTTTTAGGCAGTAATGTTTTTTCCTAAGCCATTTATTGCCAGATTGGAGCATATTAGCACTATATCTCACAAATGCAAATAAGGTTTCTGTTAAAAAATATAAAGAAAAAGAAATTAATTTGATTCGAGTTTAAGAAAATAGGGCTTTTATGTTGTCAACATTTTGCATTTTAAAGAATACTTAATTAGTAAGATACATTGTAGAAAATTATGTTTGACCCATTTAAATGGGGTAGGAAATTTCTGTTTAACAGAAGTTCAACTACATGACATACTGGAGTTAATTTCTAACCATTTCTTTTATTTTCCAGCTCACCAGCGACTGGAACCAGCAACTTTATCGGGGATTGTGGCATTTATCCTTAGTCTTTTATGTGGAGCTCTCAATTTAATTCGAGGCTTTCATGCTATAGAAAGTCTCCTACAGGTACTATGCTATTTTTGTAATTTCAAGTGACTACACCTATTCGTTCTCCTTGTTACATAATTTATATACATTGGATTGGGTATTAGTATAACTTACAATACATGTTCAAAACCTGGTTCTTTATACCTGCCCTACTGTCCCTTTAAAGCTCATGTTTGTCCATTTATGTGTGTGTGTGGCGGGGGGGGGGGGTTGGAGATCAAACCTACAGGTGCTCAACTACTAAGTTACATTCCCAGCCCTTGCTATTTTTTTGAGACAGGATCTTGCTAAATTGCCTAGGGATAGTCTCAAACTTATGATGTATCTATCTCAGCCTCTGGGAATAGCTGGAATTATAGATATGTGCAACTACACTGACGTATCATCTGTACTTTAGAAGGCATTTTTGAGAGGGTGCTCTGAGACACCAATATATGGCCCCATGTCTCACACCTTAACCACTTACCAATCTAATTATTTAAATATAGGATGACAAAAAATTGCATGTTTTTGTTAATTTTTATAAGTTAGAGGGAAATATAAAAAATAACAATTTATTGATCTTTTTAATAATTTTTCTGTAAGGTGTATGATGTATCTTAAAACATTTAATATACAGTATAACCTTACAGTCTGGACAGTGGTATCTAGTCTCTTTTCAAATACTTTTTGCAATATTATCTTTTTTTGAACATCACACTTTACACTGTTGTGTTGTCCTTTCCTTTTTTTCTGTGAGTGGTATAATTACAATAAAATGTCTATCCCCTAACTGTCATGGTGAAGATGTCAGTGATGGATGTCCTGATTAGCATTTTGTAAGCCATATTTTTCAATTATTTGTTCTATTAGATATAATCTAAATTGTAAATGACTTTTTGCACCCCTTTATTTTGAATGAATAACAAGTTCTGTATTGTTTGGTCCAGAAGGTACATAAGTATTTTAAAATAATATTTTTCTTTTTGATTGCAAAGTAGCTTGTCAGATGGTCAACTTTGTCAGCACCAGCCATATAGTCACCATAATCACGACATTTGGGTTATCAGTGATTGGAATCTTTTAGTTTTGTTACTTCTTTCCAGTTCTGTTACTTCTCTATTATGAATAATTAACAGTAAGAAGGCGTCTTTTTTTGTCTATCTCATAACACTGATGTGAATAACATTTTTTCCTTTCTGATATGCTAATATTTCTCTCCTTTTTAGTTTTTTCTTTTGCAACTCTTTTGGTACTTTCTTCCTATTCAATCTCAGTGTCTAAAATGTGTCGGTTTTGTATTGTAAAGGAATAGCTGAGGGGGCTAGTGAGATAGCTCAGTGATCTTTCCAAGCCCCTGCCTGGAAAGTGCAAGGACCTGGGTTCGATTCCCAGTACTGCACGCCGTGCTGGCCCTAGAAGGGCATGCTGTGCCAGCCACTAAAACTGGGCATGGTGGCACACATCTGTAATCCCAGCCTGTACTGGGAGGCTGAGACAGGAGGATCACTGAGTCTGAGCTGCATAGTGAGACCCTACACCAAACAAATAAAACATTTTTTAGAAATTAAAAAGAATAGCACTGAGACCTGGAAAAATATAAAAACTATATATAGTGTGTTTATAATAAGATTTTTTTATAGATTATAGCACAAAATTATAGGTTATTTTTCACAAAGAAAATAAACGTGAATTAGTGAAAAAACGGAACTTATTACTAGATTTCAATAGAAACAAACGTCAAAGGCACATATATTCTAAGTAGAAAATTATGCAAAATATAGTTGATATAAAACAGATATATGATTATATCTTGTGCAAGCGAGAATCATTTGTTTGAACTGACAACTGCATGCCTAAGCAACACTCAGGATGATAATACATAAACAAATGTACTGCCCAAGTGACACGTGGGGTAAGCTGCTAAGTGGTTAAAGTTGAGTTGGAGACATAAGGCACAAAGTCCATGAGTAACTGTTAAGTATTCCCTAGTTGGGAAGGAGCAAGGCCAGTGTGAGCCTGGAGAAGACAAGACTGTGTAGAGGAGGATGAGCTGCCCTGGGAGGGGCTGGGTAGGCAGAGAGCAGTGGAAGCACGAAGAGGCCCATGGGCAGTTCTATGTCCCACTACTAATCTGTTCTTTTTCCTTTTTGTTCAGTGGCCTTTTAAAACCTGAGCTACCTGTGAGACCATTGATTTCCTCAGCTGTTGGCAACTATTTCATTTTCCAATGGAGTTGTTATAATTGAATGGGCCAATAATAGTTCAGGTTCTTGGGTACAACAAGGAAAGAATTGCCAACATACACTTAGTAGTAAGTAGTAAGTAATTACATTTGTTAAAGATCACAGGAAGTTGTGCTCAGGGCCAGTCAATACTAACAAATGTGCTGGGGTAACAGAGAAGCACTGCCTGTCCATCAAAGGTAGCAACAGGAACAAGAAGGGAGAAAGAGGCACTACTTAGAGAATGGAAAGAGAAGCTACAGACTAGGAAAAGATATTTGTACCACACATGTGATAAAAAGATATTTGTACAACAAGTCTTG